CGTTTTTGAGGGTATCGAAGGTGAGAATGTAAGATCATGGATAGATGGTTTTATTTTTTTGGATCCTTGATTTTGGGGCATGACATTTATAGTAAGGAAGATTTTGGAGAAGTCATTGATATTTTAACACAATTATAAATTTTTGTAAATGAGTGGTATCCCCTTAGCACCTTGTGAATATCATACCTTACACTTCTTATTTCAAAAAAATTATTCACCTCAAACAGCACCAGCCATTTCCCAGAAAAAATATCTCTTTCTAGCCTCTGATTTACCTAAAGGCACTTTTATATTTTAGTTTCTGGCCAAGCTTTTCTTTTTAACAACATAAAACAGAAACCCAGCCAAACAGGTAGTAACTCAAACAATCATATTTCATGTGAAACGAAACAAGAAATGAAACATCTAATTGTAACATGACTTTCTTTTCATTATTTGGAGCTTAAGAGTTCTAATTCTACATAATTTCCATGAAGCCTCAAATCCATGTTTCTTCTATTAGAAGATTCAGCATAGGTAATAAAACAAAACAAAAAAATGCTTTCTTTTAAACAACTAATTTTGGGAGACCTTTCAGACTTCAAAATGGGTTCAACCAGAACATGGACCAAATGAGTTCAACCAGGACATGAACCTAAGACTTACACAAATCTCATGGCTACACTACGTTGTAACAGTTGGCCTACGAGCTAAAGTTCCTAAAGATGGTGAAACTGCAATGCGTAAGATCTTACATTTACAAATCCAAATTTCTAAACCAATAGAGAAAGAAAAGGTGAGAAAAACAACGAATCCAACAACCAGGTACTGACTTGGGTACCAGAAGGCTGACTAGTTGGTGAAGAGGGCGGTCTAAGAGTTGATTGAACAGGTCTCTGTTGATGGTGAGCTGAAATTCCACCTGGTCGCATTTGAGAACTGGAACCCAGCGTTCCCATCATTCCCATTCCCTGTATTCCTTGCATCGGCCTTGGCTGAAACAGTTTAAAGAAAAATTCCAATCAACAAGAAAACATAAAATGCCTTCACACGAACCCCACTCCATGTTCGCATGATCAGCGTAGTGACAGCAAAAAGCTTACACATGCCAACTCCCCCTTCCATTCGCACGGAAAAATATACCAGAATAAAAACCTAAAAACTAACGATCGCTTTTTTCATTCTCTCTGTTTCCCCCTTAAACGAAGAAACAGAAAACCTCACCTGAGAAACGTTGGCATTAGACGCGGATTCGGGCACATTGACTCCACTTCGGCCCAGCCCGCCGAACTGCTGCCCAAAAGAACCTGAAAACGCAGATGGCTGCGAATTAGGAGGAGAAGGGCTCGGGTGCTGTGCTGCCGGCACACCAATGGCCATACCGCCCCTCTGCGGAGCAGAAAGAGAAGGCGATTGCGGCGATGAAACCGAAGGAGATGAAGAAGAAGAAGAGGCAGAAGCCAGAGGGGACGAGAAATGAGAAAAGGTGGAGTGCTGTTGCCATGGTCTAGAAAGTAAGGAGGGCGATGGCCTGGGTTGCGCTTGAGATTGTTGTGGTTGTGGTGTCGAGATTGAAGGGGAGGGCGAAGCTTTCGTCTGAAGCGGGTTAGGGTTAGGGTTAGGGTTAGGGTTAGGGTTATTGTTTTGGATAGGAGAGGTTGATGAGGAAGCTGAAGAGAGCGAAGGGTGACTGGGGTTAGA